ATAAGCATAAAGAAGCGTTCGAGAAGCTAAAGAAGAAACTATGCGAGACACCGATACTTTCTCTACCCGATGGAGTTGAAGACTTAGTTGTTTATAGCGATGCGTCTGGGGTTGGATTGGGTTGTGTTCTGACCCAAAGAGATAAGATGATCGCATATGCGTCTCGACAATTGAAAGAGCATGAAAGGAACTACCCGACTCATGATTTGGAGTTGGCAGCGGTAGTTTTCGCCTTGAAAATATGGAGGCATTACCTTTATGGCACAAAGTGCAAACTTTTCACTGATCATAAGAGTCTCCAATATCTCTTTAATCAGAAGGAATTGAATATGAGGCAACAACGTTGGCTAGATTACTTAAGGACTACGACTGTGAGATACTTTACCACCCTGGTAAATCAAATGTTGTTGCTGATGCTCTCATTCGGAAAGTCAATCTTGAAAGAAAAAGGCCAAGAGTGTTGAGAATTGAAGTTGTCTCGACTATTTTGGAAAGTATAAAGAAAGCTCAAAGCGAAGCTTCTGAGAAGAATGACCGAAAGGAGGAACGTTTGGGCAAAACGTTGGTGTTCGGTATAAACAGTCATGGACTGAAGGTGTTCCAAGATCGGATTTAGATACCTAAGACAAAAGAAGTCAGAGATCTTCTGATGGAAGAAGCTCACAAGACCATGTACTCAATTCATCCCGGTAGCACTAAAATGTATAGGGACCTGAAACCCTACTACTGGTGGCCGACGATGAAGCTTGATGTTGCAAAGTATGTGGCTGAGTGTGTGACTTGTGCAAGAGTCAAGACACAACATCAGAAACCGTACGGGAGTTTAGAACCATTGCTTGTGCCTATGGGTAAGTGGGAAGACATTGTTATGGATTTTGTCACTAAACTGCCCAGAACAAAGAATGGTCACGACATGATTTGGGTGGTCGTTGATCGATTCACTAAGAGTGCGCATTTCATAGCAGCCAAGGAGAAATGGTCTATGGAAAAGCTTGCGAATTCTTATGTGAAGGAAATTGTGAGGCTTCACGGTGTTCTGTTAATGATTGTATCGGATCGTGATAGCTGTTTCACCTCGAGATTTTGGAAAAGTCTACATGAGGAATTGGGTACCAAGTTGTGTTTAAGTACAGCTTACCATCTGTAGACTGATGGTCAGAGCGAACGAACAATACAAACACTTTAAGATATGCTGAGAGCATGTACCTTAGAATTCCAAGGTAACTGCAATGAACATTTACCTTTAGTATAATTTTCCTACAATAATAGTTTCCACTCGAGCATTAAGATGGCACCTTATCAAGCTTTGTACGAACATATGTGTCGTACACCGTCTTGTTGGGTTGAGGCTAGGGAAAAGCAGTTTATGGGACCAGAGATAGTCCATCAAACTGCTGAAAAGTTGAAAATAATTAGGGAAAGAATGTTAGCAACTCAGGATCGTCAAAAGAGCTATGCTGACAACAAGCGAAGACCGATGACTTTTGAAGTTGGAGATTCGGTTTTGCTTAAAATCTCGCCGTGGAAGGGACTTATAAGATTTGGTAAAAGGGGAAAATTAAGTCCGAGGTTTATTGGACCGTTTACAGTTCTTCAGAGGATTGGGAACCAAACTTACAATCTCGAACTACCAGAAGAACTGAATGGAATTCATAACACTTTTCATGTGTTTTATTTAAGGAAGTTCACGGGAGAAGTTCCCGACATGATTCCACTTTCAGAGTTAAGAATCGATGAGAACAAAAGGTTGATTGAAGAACCAGAGGCAATCGTTGACCGAAAGACTAAGAAGTTGCAACGTAAGATGGCTGAGTCAGTGCTTGTCCGATGGAAACACACGAATGGGCCGAATCTCAACTGGGAGACGGAGAGTGACATGATGGGTCGCTATCCGCATTTGTTTGTTGATGTGTGATTCCGGGGACGGTATCATTCTAAGGTGAAGAGAATTGTAACGCCTGTGTTTCTGGGCTTGCTATTTTTTAGCAATGTAATAGTCTAGATTAACCTTTGTAACCCAATTCGAAATAATAAGAACGTATTATTTGAGTATTATGTGTTTCGTGCTTAATTGCGTAATTATGTGATATGATTAACTAAGAATAAAATGAGCGTCAAAATCTAAATGTAAAATAAACTCGATATCTTTGGATAATGTTGTAGTAGTTGAAACGAGGTTTCCGAATATATATATATATATATATAGAACGCCCAAATCTGACTTCGTACGAGGAAATTATGATTTTCTGAAGTTTCGACTTGGCAGTATGCAGCCCGAATACTCGATTTGAGATCGAGAAGTTTTTAGCCGAAACAATCTAAACGAGAATCGAAGATCTCGTTGTTAGTAGCGAAACGATGAAAAGTTAGGCGAGAACGGACGTCGGACGAAGAAGTTATGAATTTATAACGAAGTTTTTCTATCCCGGCCTCGTAAAAATAAATAATAAAAATAAAGTCAAAATTAGTCGACGGAGTCTAAACTAAGGTTGTAGAGCGTAGTCTCACCTACGCGTGGATATAAAGAACGTCGAAAACCGAGTTCGTATGAAGAAGATATGAATTCTCAAAGTTTATTAAATAATTAATATTTAAATTTATTTATTATATCCGATATTATCCGAAGGGGAGTCATCGGACTCATCCGAAGTACGCCCAGCGTACAACGAAGCGTGACGAAGCCCAGCACTCGAGTACCACTGATGACGAAAGCATGGACGATCTGAGGCGTACACCCCGCATAGCCCCATACGGCCAACGTACGCGCGAGGGTCCAGCCTCCTATAAAAGGGGATACGAAGGCAACCTTAATCCTTTACAAACTCTTCCTTTTTCTCTCATCTTTTACCTCGTCTAGCGTTCCGTTTATACCTCGAAGCCCTGGTAATATTCCCGAACCTCGAAGCAAGTCCTGAAGCCCCGAAGATCCCGAGAAGTGCAATTCCCTAGCCGAAGCTCTACCCGCGAGGAACCCGGTTTCGTGAAGATCTTCCAGATCTACGGAGAAATACTACTTCTACAAGTCGTAGTGCTGCCCGATCATCTTCTAATCAAGTGAGTGTGTAGTTACCTTCTTCTAACGCATAATTATGAAGTATTATATACAAAATACGTGTTATGTGTATATTTGGTTGTTAATGCGTGAATGTATATTCACTTTCTTCTATCTAATAGATCCGATTTATTCTCTATGAAATATGTGTTATGCGTGTGTGCCTCATCTATTATGCGGAATATGTATTGATTGAACATGCTATACAGGTTTTAAACTATGTATAAATATCTATATATATATATATATATATATATATATATATATATATATATATATATATATTTATCTACTAATATGTTGGGTAGAACATGAGTAGATAGTTGATGTGTAATAAACAGATGAGAGGTCTCGATGTTGTTGTTGTTGACCTAGTTATTCAGCGGAATATGGATAACGACCACAGACTCCTTCTAGACAGTCTTGTGGAACGCTAGCAGGTTCATAACCTGTAGGTGTTGTGAATGATGTGTTGACCGGTGTGCTCTATCCCCCCATGGTTGCCTTTAAGATATCTATTGTTGAGGAAACCCCTTAGCAATAATGTCCGTCCCGATGAAAATCCTAGATTAGGTCCCTTGAGATAGTTGTTGTTTTAGGGTCATAAAGTGAGGATAATGGGAATTAGTAATCGGGTTATTGTTGGTTGGTGAAATTAAATATAATTTATTTATTGTGGGTTGAAAACCCTATATGCTCACCAGGCTCTCAAGCCTGACCCAGTCAGTTTTATATGTATTAAAGGAAGTGGCGCAGGGGCATAAGATGGATGAATCATCGAGTTGTTTTGTTAACAAGTCTGTATATGTATACATTTGTTGAATGACTTGTAATGTTATCGTTTATGCTTTATGGTCTGTATCGGAACATGACATCCCGAGTTTTGATTATATAATGAAAATGCACCTCTTGATGAAATGTTTTGATAAATATTATTTTATCATATTTTGTTTTTGGGAACAAATTCCGCAACTCTTTTAAATCAAAAGGATTTACTCTGAAATTATTTTAAAAGCATAAATGAAATCGGTCTTTTCTGGCCTTGATTTTAGGGATGTCACAATGTAGAATATTCTTTTTATTCTATTAGAAAATGTAAAAAAAAGTATTTTTTTTATATATTTTTTGTTGTATTTTTTTTTGGAAAATATAAATTTCGAAAATAATATTTGAAAAATTTTTGTTAAAAAATTTTCAATTATTTTTTATTTTAGAAATATTTTTTGTTTTATCTATTAAATGAATGATTATAATTGCATCTCACGGTCTCATAAAATTAGGTCGTCTAACATTAATATATATATATATATATATATATATATATATATATATATATATATATATATATATATATATATATATACATATTCGTGCAATGCAGAGGCAACAATTATTAATGTTTTAATGAATGGTTTTTTAATTTAAAAAATATTACTTGACTGTCTCAATAGCTATAAATTTTCAGGATAACATGTTAGAAAATTTTCATGCACAACCGTTAGGCAAACATCGTGCCTATGTTTAAAAAACATTATTGTTGTTTCTTTCCATAAATATTTTCATTAATTATGTTATACTATAATTAGTTTTTGTTTATAAAAAGATAAGTGATTTTTAAATAACAGATTTTTACATTAAGTTATCAAGTATGTACCTCTTCAATTTCATATATATATATATATATATATATATATATATATATATATATATATATATATATATATATATATATATATATATATCCCAATTGCATGGTATAACGTATTATATGAGTGAAAAATTATATATACTAATACTTACTTTAATCACTTGTACTTTTGATAACCATAATGACTGGAAGTTTTTTTTTTTTTATTGAAATATATATTAAATGTCAAAACCTGCAAGGATGTGGCAACTCTACTAGTTGTGGAGGATTAAGAGCCATGGTCCAAAAGAAGGAGTCTCGCTAGTTAGTAACTGAATGAAAATAGAAGTCGAAAATGTTGTACATCACCCTCGTCTTCCTATTGCTGTCTCTTGTATACCAATGCTGCTTTACCTCATTCTCCTGTTCAATAAACCCCAAAACTCCCTTTTTCATCTCCTCTATTACGCTAATAGGAACTCTATGATTCACCATTTCAAAGAACCGCCAACTTCCGAATGCATTATGGATTTCCTTCACCACCTCCTTTTGCAGGATTAGATCACCATCAATTTCTACATGGTTGATACCAGAAAGACTATGTTCTGTTGGCCTGTAACGACCAAAAATTTCAACAAAATTTAACTTTTCAAAAACAACCCATTTTAATCACGTTATTACAAAAAGGTTTTCAATACATTTATTATCAGAGTATTCCCAGGTCCTTATCATAAAACATAAACACGAGGAGCGGTACGATCACGCCTTTGCCTTGCCACAGTCTCCTGAAGAACCTGAAAAACATTAAACCACAACTGTAAGCCCGAATGCTTAGTGAGATACCCCCAAAATACCAACCACATATACCACACACATAACATGCTATATCATATCGAATCCCAGAACAGCCATGCATATCGGGTCTACTGTGTCACTGGTCTGCCGCACCGGCCAACAGTCCACCTGGTCCACCCTCCGCGTCTAGCCATATACATCGAGTCTGCAGGGTGGTTGTTCCGCCCGCACCGGGCCTTCAGTCAGCCTGGTCGACTCTCCGAGCCTTGGCACGTCTGGTCCGTCCTCGTGGGGCCTACAACCTATTCGGACTGCTCGTTGGGCCTTCGGAATAACCGGTTCGCCTTAGGTATGTTGACCTACAACACAAAGCAGGTCCCGCCTCAACCCAACCCCAATCAAACAACCATGTGCACATAAACATACAATCATATAACAATTCATATTCAATCAAACTGATCTAGTAGATCACGTAACACAACATACTCTAAGCAGGATACCGACCTAACCGGTCACTAGCATAGCATCATCCTATATACCAGGATACGACCTTAACCAGGTCTCTAACGAATACCATCCTAACTACCAGGACGCAAACATAGTAAAACAGCAACATAACAACAATACCCGTATTACAATCCGATAAAGGGCCGACCTTGGTGCCTTAGACCCTCTTGATATAGTAAGGATAACTCACCTCGCAACTGCTGACTGGAAAGATAAGATCGAGATGCTCCGACCACTGACACGATCTCCACCACTAGCTAGCACCAACACTGAACTCAAACAAAAGCCAACAATTACCAAAATTCCCTTAGAAGTCAACTGGTCAACTCTTGGTCAAAGTCAAAGCCAAAGTCAACCTTCTGGCTGACTCTACTCGCCGAGTCAGCCCGCTGACTCACCGAGTCCCCTAATACTGAAAAGGACCCCCTTCCAACTCACTGAGTCATCCCTTGACTCACCGATTCTTAGCTTAGCCAGGAAAGGCTAAGACCTCAAGAACATACTCGCCGAGTCCCAGAACAGACTCGCCGAGTCCAAGGCTATCTTCAACCAACTCGCCGAGTTGTTCTTCAAACTCGTCGAGTTCTTGCCCGCCTTCAAGCAACTCGCAGAGTACACCCTTGTGACTCGCCAAGTACCACTTGTTCTTAACCTATACAGAAGCCTTTAAGGCCATGCAATTGATCCGAAACAAAGATCTACCCTTCTACAACCCTTCCATCACGTAAAGTGGAAAACTTTACGTGAATCCAAATGTCACACCGCCGAACCAGACGGCGGAAACGTCCGAGGGCTGTCGTGACTTAATTGAATACCATAACATTGAATATATATGAAACATAACATCGTTCATCACCATGCATTAATATAGTACAACTGGTAGAGTTTACACTGAGTACATTGTTTTAATATTACATTCCCAAAAATAAATTGTTCGATCATAGATAAACAAACTGCAAGCCATCAATGAATACATTTCCTTCGATTTACTTGTTACCTGAGAATACAAGTATTTTGAAAAACGTCAACATATGGAATGCTGGTGAGTTCATAAGTGGTATTTGAAAAAAAAACAACGTTTTGTATTCTTTTGAAAAACTACCAGAAAATCCGATATTTTCTGAAAAGAGTTTATGAAAAAGTTTGTGAAGATCCATAAGTATGCTTGTTTGTTTCTATAGTTGTAAAAAGTGTTCATTAAACTTATATACATTTCGAAACTGTATGTATAAAAAAAATACCCTAGGAAAACCCGATGTTTTCCTAACGCTTTGAATTCCATGTAGTTATTGTACCATCGCGGCATGTGAAGTCACTGATTCTCGGCGACGTCGGATTATTGCGCATGGTGAATTATTATAAACACGCGTTACACAAACGACCAGTTTACAATTATACTAACGATCCCGTAGGCGTCGTTCGTACTATTCACGTAACCCAACCGCCCTGACTTCGTGTAGCCCCACGACCGAGGAGAAGAGAGGGCACGAAGATCTCAATAATCCTATAGTCGGTCGAGGCTATAGTGAATGCGAAGAACCCTTGGCCCGACTCGCATTTGGTGAACTCTCGACTTTAATAGCAGTACCAAAGGACCCTTGGGGACCAATAGTATAAAAGCCAATAAAAGTCCTTTTACGCTGCGTTGGATCATGTAGGACCCAACAACTCGTAACGTTGAAGTCTTCGGGCCTAAAGATCAGGTCATTGGGCTAGCTAGGCCCAACAAACAAAATTTTACACTTTGGGGCCCAAAGATGGTGCGTCGACATCTGTGCACTCTCACGTGTGTATTGAATTCCCGAATATTACTTGTATGAATCGAGTGATCGTCGTGTTAGTAGTTTCGGGTTTGTTATTGATTCGAGACCGAATCAATTCGTTTGATAACGATTTTTGGTGTTGTTGTGTATTGAAATTCGTCGATAGTCGTAGTGCCATTATTTTATCACAATGGATGTATTGAATTAACATTGAAAATTTTCTGTTTACAACTCCTCTTTGTTTGGTAAATTTACTTTTTCAACCCTTGGAATAAATAAATTTCCGGTTTAGTCCTTAACCATTTTTCTTGTCATTTTAACACCAAAACTTATTGGAATTGACATTTTTCAGCATATTCTTAGTTGAAAACAGCTTTAGTCCCTGAAAATGCAGTTTTCTTGGATGTAGCCCCTCTTTTTCGCAATTTTTACATTTTTGGCCCAAATTGGAAAATTTTTACAACTTTGGTCCTCTTTAATTATGAAAAGCATTTTTAACCCTTGGAAAGGACTTAGAACACTAATAGTCCACTGTTTTACAGAAAAATACAGTTTTGGCCCTTCAAAACAGAAAATTTCGCATATTGGGCCCTATTGGGCCGAAAATGTCATTTTTAGCCCATTAAGCTTGGAATTTATATTTTCAACCCTCCAAAAGAGTATATTTCCAGAAACTACTTTATTGAAACTGTTTTGACTCTTCTCATCCATCAGAATTCGTAATATGTCATTTTGGGCCCTTTAACTTTATATTTTTAACATTTTATGTCCAAAAATTGAGTTTTTAGCCCAAAGAAGATGTTATTAAGCCATTTAGCTATTTTTCTTGGAATAATTTGTATGTAGAAATATATTTGATGCTAGTATTGTTTAACATTAAGTATATCTCGATTTTTAGGGGCTTATAGTTAGATCCAACATCATAAACACACAAAAACACACATATAAGCATAGAAATCATATAAGGCATACAAAACACATATAGATCTACACTTTCACTTGTATTCCCCCCCCCCCCCCCCCACAAAACATAGAAAACCGAAAGATAGGGAGTATGAAGCTCACCTTAGGGTGTGGTTTCGGTTTTTGAAGAAAAGATAGTAGAAAGCTTGGTGATTTTTGGCCTTAACACCCTTTTCTTGAAGATCTCGAGTTTGAGGTGGTTCTAGGATGCAAGATCATGATTTTTGCATGGATTAGGAAGACATTTTTGATAAAACAAAGAATCTAAGTCATAGATCCAAGCATAACCTTACCTTAGATGAAGAGTTTGTAGAAATATCCTCTTGAAAGCCTCTTAATTTTCGAGATTTTTGAATGGTGAGGAAGGATGAGTTCTTGAGTATTCTAGAGAGAATTTGTGAGGTGTGTGTGTGTTTGAAATGGCCGAGAGCAAGAGAGAGAGAGGGAGAAATAGAACCTTGAGGTGATATGCATGGAAACATGGAATAGGTTGCATGGAGATCCAAAAGACAATAATGAGGTGTCAATTGCAAGTCAACTCTCTTCATCTCTTCATGGGTTTGGGCCTTGGGCCGTGAATTTGGAAGGAAAAGGGAAAAATTTGGGCTTTTATGCCCTCAAGCCCATGTAGAAGTTAAGTTGGATTATTTTTGTTCCAAAAAAAAATATAATATGATTTTTACACTTTGTTAGGCTAGTTTAGGTTAATCATGGTGCAAAACTTTTAGTTTATTCCATTTTAGGCCCAATATGGCCCAAAAGGTTGAAATAAATGTATGTGGGTCCAATTAGAGCCCATTTAAGGGTTCTAAGCCCATGATAGTCAAATTGGAAGCTTATTGGTCCATTGAGTCCAATAAGGAAGTCCTAGTCCAAAATTGACCTAAACAAGAACTTCTAGGGTTTCCAATTGCTTGTTGACTATTTGTAGTACTTGTATGAAGCATTTGATTGAAGTTTTTGAAGGCATCACACATGATCTTAAGTTTTTGGTTCAATGTTTTACTTAAGTATAGTGATTACAAGACACAAAATTTCTAGTTGTGACATCATCCCCCCGTTAGAGGGAATTTCGTCCCGAAATTCTGTTTGAAAGCTAGATTTGAGAATGCTAGAATAGGTGAGGGTACTTTTGCTTCATTTGGTCTTCACGTTCCCACGTGAATTCTGGTCCATGCTTTGCGTTCCACCGTACTTTCACGATCGGGATGCGACTTTGCTTAGTACGCTTCACCTCCCTGTCCATGATTTCAATTGGTTCTTCAACGAACAGGACATTCTCATTGATTTCAATCTCGTCAAGAGGAATGACGAGGGTTTCATCAGATAGGCACTTCTTCAGATTAGAGACATGAAACACGGGGTGTACACCGATTAGCTCTGCGGGTAGTTGCAGTCTGTAGGCTACCGGACCTATTCGGGCGACGATTTCGAAAGGTCCAATGTATCGTGGGTTCAACTTTCCCCGTTTTCCGAAATGTATAACCCCTTTCCAGGGTGAGACTTTCAACAGTACTCGATCCCCGACCTGAAATTCTAAGGGCTTTCGCCGTTTATCAGCGTAGCTCTTTTATCGGTCACGCGATGCTTGCAATCGTGCTCTGATTTGAATGATCTTTTCCATGGTTTCGCGAATGATCTCCGGTCCCGTTAGTGCTTTGTCTAACGTATGTGTTTTTGCTAGCTGGGTGTCACCTACTTCAGCCCAACATAACGGTGATCTACACTTACGCCCGTACAGTGCTTCGAAAGGAGCCACCTTGATGCTCGAGTGATAACTATTGTTATATGAGAACTCGATTAAAGGTAGGTGGGTATCCCAAGACTTCCCAAAGTCTATCACGCATGCGCGGAGCATGTCTTCGAGCGTTTGGATGGTTCGCTCGCTTTGACCATCCGTTTGTGGATGATAAGCGGTGCTCATGTCGAGGTTTGTTCCCATCGCCTTATGGAGTGATTGCCAAAATTATGACGTGAACCTACTGTCCCTATCCGAGATGATAGATACTGGTATTCCGTGGAGTATCACGATCTCTCGAATATACAGATGTGTCAATCTTTCCATCTTGTAGGATTCTTTTATAGGCAGGAAATGGGCAGACTTCGTCAGTCGGTCAACTATTACCCATATGGTGTCCAGTCCGTCCGACGTCCTGGGTAGCTTGGTCACGAAATCCATAGAAATCCCCTCCCATTTCCATTCCGGGATTACCGGTTGCTGTAACAATCTTGAGGGTTTCTGGTACTCCACCTTTACCTTGGCGCACGTAAGGCACTTACTAACGTAGGTCGCAATTTCCGCCTTCATGTTAGGCCACCAATAGTGTTGTTTAATGTCCAAGTACATCTTGTATGAACCGGGATGAATGGAGTATCGTGTCTTGTGGGCTTCTTTCATAACAACCTCCCTGAATCCTCCGATTTTTGGGAACCAAATTCGGTTCATGAAGTAGTATACTGCATTCTCCCTTGCCTCTAGATTCTTCTCCATCCCGCGTAAGGCCTCGCTTGCTCTATTTTCCGTCTTAATGGCCTCTGACTGGACTGTTGCAATTTGAGTGGCCAGATGGGATTGAATGGTTATCGAGAGAGTTTTCGTGCGGCGATTAGAGTACTCCTTCCGACTTAATGCGTCAGCTACCACGTTGGCCTTGCCTGGGTGGTACTTGATCTCACACTCGTAGTTATTTAGCAATTCAACCCATCTTCGTTGTCTCATGTTCAGCTCCTTCTGGTTCAAGATGTGTTGGAGACTCTTGTGGTCCGTGAAGATGGTGCACTTCGTACCGTACAGGTAGTGCCTCCAAATTTTCAGAGCGAAGACCACGGCTCCCAATTCTAGGTCATGGGTCGTATAATTTACTTCGTGCGTCTTTAGTTGGCGGGATGCGTATGCTATCACCCTTCCATGTTGCATGAGAACGCAACCTAAGCCCTGATTTGACGCGTCACAGTAGACTACAAAATCTTCCGTTCCTTCCGGTAGAGATAGTACAGGGGCGCTACAGAGAGCTTGCTCTAATGTCCGAAACGCAATCTCTTGTTTGTCTGTCCATTTGAATGGTACGCCCTTTTGCGTAAGAGAGGTAAGTGGCTT